TCGATCTTTATATGCGGTGCTGAGAATCGAACCCAGTGCCTCACACATGTTAGGCAAGCTACTACTGAGCTACAACCCCAGCCCTAGGCCCCACTTTTTAAAGGTAAACCACCTCTTAGTAGTGCCATTCTAGGGACCAAACCTTCAATTACTGTGGACTCTTGAAAGCTACTCAGACCACAGCTGTCTGTGTCAGTGTGAGGATGTGCTTTAGTGGCAAATCTTCCTTCTAAGTATTTCCTACATGGGCCTAAATGTGTTTTAGATTTGCATCTTGCTGTAGTTAGGGCCTATTTTCGAGTAACCAAATTTGAACCTAATGTCTACTTGCCGTGGAAATGCACATTAGAAAATCTAAACTAGGATTTATTGTTCTTTTCTAATCAGGACATTGTAGGAACTTCCTTCCTTGAATTATTTAGCCTGGGGCTCTAGAATTGCAGCTTATTCTAATACTAACACAGGTCAAATATGACTAGAAAATTAGATTTATTGCAAGTGATCACATGGTCCATTTACTGTTTGAATAATCTACAGTTTATTTTTAGTTATTTTGCATTATCTGCTGTTATTTCACAAAGACTTGTCTCCCTTGGTGTGCTGTTTCCACTGCATTCTTGCTTCTCCCTCATCCCATTGTGAGGGCTACTTCCTTCCCTTTAGATCTAGCTTAAAGCTAGTTTCTGGTTTAGGTACAGTAGTCTTGATCTTAAGAGAAAAAAATTTTTTAAATATTTATTTAATTGTAGGTGAACACACAGTATCTTTATGTGGTGCTGAGGATCGAACCCAGTGCCTCACACATGCAAGGCAAGCACATTACCACTGAGCTACAGCCTCCTCAGCCCCTTAAGAGAAATTTGAGAAATTTTAGATCAATAGTTCTCAGTTCTGGCTGCAAGTTAAAATCACCCTAGATTTCTGGTCTCCACTCCTAGGCAATCTGATTTTATTGATGTAGTGTAGAATCTGTACCTAGAGCTTTTTAAAATTTTTTGATTAGGGTCCTTGCAATCTTGATTTTTAATGCAGAGCTGAGGCCCATTATTTTAGACCATTGCCCTGGAATTGAACTTCAAGACATACAGACTGCCGAAGTAGTCTTGACCTGATTACTACAAATTCTATTCTGCTCAGCCTAGTTCTTCAGTATCTTCAGGAGTAGGCCCGGCCTCGATGTTCCCTAGAGCCTTCCCTAATTCCCTTTGTTGACTGTGAGCCCAGTCTGAGTGGTTGGGACCCTTCAAGTCTTCCTTTAGCCTGCTTGGTTTTCTGTCTGTTGTCAACTCAATGCGTGTTGCATTGATTAGGAAAAGCTTCTTAGAGAACAGGATTCATCTTTCATCATAAAATATGGAGGAGATTTTCCTAAGTGGTGAGCTTTGGAGAAGGGCAGTATCGATGTTGAAAAGATGAGGTTTGTCTGGGAGCAGAGAGCAGACCAACGTGTCTAAGCAAAGAATTCTGAGGAAGTTGAACACTGGAGACTGTCTTGGTCACCCTCCATGCTGAGCACCAGTATAGTACCCATAGAGTTATAGTTTAGATCTGGAATGTCCCCATAGACTCCCTTGGTTCACAGCGTATGGCACTATTGAGAGGTGGTAGAACCTTTAGATGGGACCTTGTGGGAGGAAGTCAGGTAATCGGGGGTTGTCCTTGAAGCAGATATTGGGACCCTGGTCACTTCCTTTGTTTCTCTGCTTCTGGGCCACCATGAGGTGAACAGGCTACCTCTGCCGTGTTCTCTCACCATGATGAACTGTGCCACTACAGGCCCAAAGCAAGCAGGCCAAGTAACCAACCATGGACGGCAACCTCTGAAACTGGGAGCCAGAACAAACCTTTCCTTGTTATAAATTGTTTATCTCAGTGTTTTGTGATAGTGATGCAAAGCTGACTAACGCAGTAGGCATCTAGTAAAATAATATTCAATAAACTAATACAAACACCCACAGGGAAATGATCTCATTTCAAATGACATTTTGAAGCTATACTTGAAAAGTCATAGTCTCTTCTTTTGGCTTCTACATTCGTTTTCTGTTGCCTAACAACTTACCATAAAACCTAGTCACTGGAGACCACATACATTTATGACCTCTCAGTTTCTGTAGGTCAGCAGTCTGGCATGTGTTCTCTGGGTCCTCTGCTTAGACTTTCACCAAGCTGAAACACAGCTGCTGTCGGGGCTTCCATCTCATCTGAGGCTCTGTTCTTGACAGAGTGCAGTTTCTCACAGGTGTAGGACTGAGGAGCCTGCTTTCTTGCTTTCACACAGGGGCCATTCACAGCTTGTGGCATGCTGCCCACCAGGACATGTGCTACTTCCTAATCAGCAGGAGAATATTTGAAGACATCATGTCCAGAAACTTCCCGAGTTTGATAAAAACTTTAATCTTTGTACTTAAGCAGTTCCAACTCTGAGTAAGAATTAAAGGAGAGGGAGAAAGGAAAGGATTCACCCCTAGGAACTTCAGATGGAACTGTTGAAAGCTGAAGGTAGAAACCCGAGAGCAGTTAAGAAGGCATCATGCCCAAGGCATCCTCAGTAAGATTAACAAATGATTTCTCATCTGAAACCCTGGGGGACAGAAGGCAGTAGGATAGCATTCAAAGTGCTGAAAGAAAAACCGTCAACCATGAATTTGCTGTTCAGCAAAACTCATCTTCATAGTTAAGGAAAAAATTTAAAAGCCAGTAGGAGAATCTCTCCAGCCTTGTCAGAGCTCACCTGATCAGATCAAGCCCACCCAGGTTACTCTCCCCTTTGACTTAACTCAGAATCAACCAATTAGGGGCCTCATTATATCCACAAAATCTCTCTGCCACAGTCCACATAGGGGAGAGGATTGCGTAGGTGTATACATGAGCACCCTCCTCACATTGCCTACCAAGGCTTTGGTGTCTCTTTCAGTGGGTTGACCCTATTCTTCCATAATTTTGGTAAGTCCTAGCCCCCGCGTGTTGACTCGAAAAATGAACAAAGAAACCTAGGAAGCATAAAGATGCTGTTGGCTACAACAGAAAAAGTATACAAATGGCCTTAAAGTTGAAATTTCTAAATGACTTAAAAAAAAAATCTCTCAGGCAGCAGAGCCTGATCAAAAAGCCAAGGGTTTGATCATCAGATTTCAGTTTCCACTTAATTACAGCTCTCAAGCCTTATTTTGACCTGTGAATTTCCACCTCATCATATGAAACAAGAGTATTCCTGCTTCCAGGAAGGTTTGGAATCATTGAATAAATGATTGAGGGTCTCAGGTTCTTATTATTCCCAACTTTTGATTTTATGTGCCTGGGTGATTTCATGTAAGAAGCCAGATTGCTTTTCCAGCCTAGAGCCGGCTTGGTTAAGCACTCTCTGCCTCTCTCTGATCCCCTCCCCTCCCACTTTCCTGTTTGCCAGTCCCCGCTTCAGCGTAGTCGAGTAGGGGAGGATTTCTCCACTAGGTCAGCATCCACCTGTTCTGGGCCTGGAGAAGGAAACTTGGAAGAAAATTGTAAACAGGTAGACCGGAAACCACGTACTAATTCCAAACAGCATACTTCATTGTTTGTGTTTATTAGATTATTAATACCAGTTACCAGAAAGATTTTGCAGAACCAAAAATTAATACAATACTGTGTGAGCGTGTGTGTGCTCCTGTCTCATTGTTGGTGTTGGGATGTTGTCTGATTAACCACCTTTCAAGCAGAACAGTGGTGTTGACTGTGGTGTAGACCACCACCACACCATGGATCAATGGGATGGTGAAAAGGAGAGATACTAAATGAGGAAGGTCTGAAGGTTTTGAAATACCTTCTATTTGGTGATTTCTGAAGCAATTTTAATAACAACCTCTGAAACCAGCAATAAAGAGATGTTTAATAAATTAGAAAACTCTTTGCTTTTTCTCCCAAATTTAAAGTTTCCCCAAATTAATATCAGCACTGAAGGATTTGCTAAAGCTTCATCTACATCCTATCAGCTAGGAAGAATTTCTTCCTGCAGTGAGGTATACAGCATTCAAGGTAGTTGGCAGCCCAGGAGTTCTCTTCAGACCATATCACTAAGATGTGAAGAACCTTTTATCCCATCCTGCCCCCAAATCCCACTATAAGGATGTGACTGAGAATCATTTCCTCTAAAGTTGCCATTTGATCCTTAAAGTTGCCCCGGAGTTGTCCATTAGAAAAAGCCAGCTGCACTCTGAAACTTTATTTTATGACCAAAAAGTCTTAATCTCTGTACAACTTCAATTTAAAAATTATTTTTTAAAGAACATACTTAAATGATACTTGCCATTTCTGGAGTTTGGATCTCATTAGGAAAAGATTTTACTTAGAAAGCACCATAAACCAATGACTTTTAAAAACTATATAAAATCGTTTGCATTTATATTTTGAAAAATGGGCCTTATTCATCTGTACATCTAAGACACACACACACAAGCACATCTAATTAGGTATAGTTTCAGAATTCCCTGTTTCTATTTGATTTCTTATTAAAACTCAACATTGGAATTATTGAAAACAGACTGGGTAGGGGGTCAGAAGGGAAAAGTCTATTGTGCACTTTCTTTTTTAAAATTTTTATTTAACCCAGAGACCCTTACCACTTACCGCCTTGAAACTGAGCCACATCCCCAGCCCCCCCCCC